CATAGCCATTACACTAACTGCTGGTTCCCCCAGACAGATATCTTAAAACAGTTTTTTTTGTTTGTTTAGAGTTTTGCTATAGAGCACGTGTGCTTGCTGGAGAATCAAAGATAGACAGGAAGCAAGAAATCACCTCCCAGGGAGGTGGCCATGCCGCAGTCCCTTCTGCTCCATTCTCCTCTCGGGATTTTGGGCACGAAAGCACATGTGCCCTGTGTGAGTTTTAAGCCGCCGGGTTTGGGACCTAAACCGCGGTCGACGAGATGGGAATCCAGCGACGTAATCGTTATGCCATCTGCTGGTCCCCCCAGACAGGTATCTTTATCTTCCTGTCCAGGCCCCGCAATCCCTTAGAGATGCTGGCAGGGGGACTTCAGTCTCTACGCCCCAGCGTTCGCTTGCTCAGTAGTGCAGCCCGGAGTACCTGGGCCCGCCTGCCACAGGAGGGTTTTTCCCCCCACCCCGCCCGCCCCGCGGCAGCAGTAGGACAGCTACGGCCCGGCGGGTAGCAGGGACCGGAGGGGGCGTCACGAGCCAGAGCCCGGGCCCATTCCCCCACCACACTCACCGCCCTCGGAGCTGCTCCGCGTCAGCGCCAGCCGCAGGCTCAAGGCCAGGCCGAGCGCGGTCCAAGCCTGGGCGCCAGGGTGCGCCGCCGCGCGGGCCACAGCCGGGCCCCGCCCCCTTAAGAAGCCCCGCCCACGCATAAGGCCACGCCCCGCCTCTGGGGCGCACGTATTCGTCTGCAGACTTGCACAGACAATCGCTAGGCACCGACACTAACGGCCTCAGCCACGCAGTCACATGCAGCACTAACCAAGGCCTGAGCGAGGAACGGACACGTGGGCATGAGGATGTAGACACTCCAGCCTCCTTTTCCCTGACTGTGTGGCTGCGGAGCACCTCGCGAGTAGAGCAGGGAATCACCAGGATAGGCCATGCTGGTGGCCACCACCGCTGGTGACCCCATGCAGGGCTGACAGTCGCTGAAGCCAAGCCCAAGAGAAATCTGGGGCAGGGCCGGTGGTGACAACAAAAGCAATGTCAACTAACCAAATCCCTGGTCCCGGCTTCACCTTGCCCACAAGGCTGGAAGAGAGGAAGGTGTCTAGGGCCTGGTACATATGTCCTATATAACCAACAGGGACTTGATGGTTTTGGGGTCACGCTTAGACAGGACACAGTGCGGGACCAGCTGGACTCCCACATGGCTGACTGTGGTTTCGGCCTGCCTAAAACTCACTGCAGGGGGACCAGCGGTTTGTGTAATGTCTATGTAGCTGAACTCCCATGTAGTCGACTGCGGTTCAAGTCGCAGACCCCATGGCTTAAACTCATGCCGGGTGTGCGTGCATGTGTGCCCAAGAACCGGAGAGGAGAATGGAGGAGAAGGGATTGCAGTGTGGCCATCCCCGCCCCCCCAGGGGGGATTGTGATTTCTCACTTTCTGTCTCTCTGTCTCTCTCTGTCTTTCTGGCAAGTGCATGCACCCTATAGTAAAAACCTCTCCAAAAAAGAAAAAATAAATAAATAAAAACTCACAGCAGGTGTGGGCACATGCCCAAACTCCCGAGGGTAGAATGGAGAAGAAGGGATAGCCCGTGCCCATCCCCACCAGGGGATAATTTCTCACTTTCTGTCTCTCTCTGTCTCTCTTAAAAACAAATAAAAATGGGGGCTGGCAGGTGGCGTGGTGGTTAGCGGTGGTGTTGGACTCCGACATGGCTGACCCTGGATCAAGTTCTAGACCTGGTAGCTTGCTTTCTCACTTTCCCCCTCTCTTGTTCTCTTTCTGGTCAAATTAAAATCAATCAATCATTAAAAGAAAAGAAAAAAAAAAAGGACACAGTGCTTTGGGAGGTAACAGAAGCCTGAGGAGCTCAAGAGGTAGTTTCTTTTCTTTTTTCTTTTAAAGGTTTTTACCATAGGGCACATGTGCTGTCAGAGAGAGAGAGAGAAAGAGCGAAATCAGACATCTCCCCAGGGGAGATGGCCACGCTCCAATCCCTTCTCCTCCATTCTCCTCCCAGGATTTTGGGCATGCCCACATGCACCAGACGTGACTTTCAAGACTGATTCCCAGACTCAAACTGCAGTCGGCCATGTGGGAGTCCAGCACATTAGCCACCATGCCGCCTGTTGCCCCCCACCCAGGAAGTTTCTTAGGGGAAGCAAAGCCCCCGACTCCACCCAGGCTTCTTGGAGAAAGAGGCACAGGTGTGGGAAATAATTGGTTCAGGCCCTATTCATGTGACTATGCTTGGTCTATACTGTTCCTACACGTTCCACTCAATAAGGGCCCAGGGCCCACGACCCAGGCCAAGCTCAGACTCCTAGACCAAGGACAGACCCCAACAGGGCTGGAGGGGGCCCACTGGTGAACAAGGCACTGTTGGATCCCAGGGTCTTACTTAGGACCAGACCAGAGGGAGCTGGCTGCAGAGGGCCTCCCAAGGAACACTTGATCCTCTGGGCAGGTTCCTCACCCTTAAGTGAGGCTGCGCACTCAGTGCCCCAGGCCAGGGGCCAAGGGTTAAGAGAACCCTGACCTCCTAAGATACCTTCCTGTGGAATGACCATTGTCCTCTCCTAGCCCCTCCTAAGTTCAGAACTGGGGGTGTGTGCCAGGATGTCCCCTCCCTTTCCACCCTCTCCAGGAGGATGCTCAGCCAGAGGACGCTCAGCGGGAGGACGGATGGGACTCAATGGTTTTCCTTCCTCCCTTTCTGGCAGGTGAGACACTGTGGGGCCACAGGGCCAGCTGCAGCTCAACTTTGCCTAAAAAAGGAAGCGCCCGTCTGAGCCTAAGGAGCTGGCTGCCGGAACAAGCAAGAACTGTGTCCCCGCCGCCGTCCCCCACCCCCCCTTGCCGGGAATCTTGGCAGTGGTGGGGCTGGCTCTGCTCCACAAACCTCAGGCCTCAGCTGGGACCAGAAACTGCCTGGTGCTTCCGGCTAGGCTCCATGGAGAGGGGGAGCAGTGGGTATGAGCCCCTCAAGTCTAAGGCCTGCCCCCCAAAGGGGCCTCACCTGACCCCAGCTCCCAGCACTGAAAAGCTGCTCTGCTGGAAAGATAGGCAGCTTGAGCAGAGGCTGTGGGCCAGGTGGTCACGGATGGGGGGCCTGGGAGCTCAGCAAGGAAACCACCTGGCGACTCTGCAAAAGACACACCCAGAGAGACAGTTCATCCTCCATCTTGCTGGGTGGAGAACTGGACCATGGTGGATCCTCCCGGTGGAGACATCTGCTCACAGCCAGTCTTCTGTCCCCCAATTCCTGCCCAGGAGGCAGGCCCGCAGTCACACCTCAGCCTGCCCTGCTGGGCTGACGGGGAGGTTTCCGTCCCTTCTGGAAAATGTGAGCAGGTTTTCTTGGCTGTGACTCAGGCCCTCGAGGAAGCAGCCGCCCTCCTCCCTCCAGCCTCATCAGAGGGAGAAGGCAGAGGAGGCCCAGCCTCCACCCAGCCCTGGCCGAACTCGGCCACCTGCCCTGCTCTGAGCTCTTGCCCAACTCCCTAGGAGACCCTCCCACTCAGTTCTGTCCTCCCCTCCCACCCCCCCACCCTCGTTGCTGAGGCACTCATGGCCCCTGCTGACAGCATCCTAGCAAGTCTCATTCCTGTGTCCTGTACTGCTCCCCATGCTGGCCCCACCCCCAGAGGAGAGACATGGACAGACTGAGGGTCCCAGGGAGAGTGGAGGGCCAGCCAGGGGTGTATTGGTCCAGCCCAGGGCTGGGCTTGAGGCAGGTGCCAGAGGAAGGTCAAATATAATGGTCCGGAAGCCTCCTCTCTGAAGAGAGACAGGCCCAGAGCGGGTGGAGGCAGAGATGTGGGCAGAGAGGCAAGGACAGGTCAGGCCGGATCACAGTGGAGCCCTGGCTCTCAGCCCTCTACCTCCCCCACGCACAGCCCCTGCCTGGTCCTGTCATCTTGAGACTGAAAAGGAAGAAGGAGTCCCCATGTGGCTGAGGCTGCCCTGCCCCCACAGCCTTGGCCCGGGTCCTGGTGGGGAGTCCCTGCACCTCATTTCCTGGAACTGGCCTTCCTGGCCTGTCTACAGGCAGGTGGAGGGGATTCCATGAAACTGGGGACACTGCTCTTAGCCAGGCACGGCCCCTGCCCCCACCCGGGTACCACGGAACACTCCCTCCTCTGCACAATTCAGGCTTCTGTAGAGAAGAAGGGCCTTTTGTCCCTAGCTCACTGTGGTCATGTTTGACCCCAGGGAAAAGGGCAGCTCCTGTGGCCTCTGACCCCACCGCTGACCCCAGCCAAAGGCAGAGTGGCCTGGGCCCCCACCCACGCCCATGCGCTGCTGTTTTTCATGTTGTTTGTATCCCATACACACCAGGGACACAAACAGGAAGCAGCAGGAGCAGCGGGGGCAGCTGCCATGGCCTGGGCAGGGATGTGGAGTGAGTCCGAGCCTCGTGACCTGGCCCCCTAACCATAAGTGGGACAGAGGGAGGGGGTGGCCAGGAGCAGCCTCAAGTTCTTCTACAACTTGAGCCATCTGGCATCAGAGATATACCAGAGATATACCTGGGAGTCTGGGGGGTCCATCTCACTCCCCAGGAGCCAAGACCTGCTTCCTCTGGGCTCAGAGCTGTCCCTGACTCAGTCTCCCTGCCAGAAACAGTCAGGATTACAGGAGAGATGCCACGTGGATGGGCAGCCTAGGCACAAGGTGGGTGTCCTCTCTTCTGTGATCATCCATCCATCCAGGTCATCTCTTACACACCAGCCTCTGCACTGGGAGCACACAGGCACAGGGCGCAGCCCCAATCCTCCCAGCCCTGCCAGGCCCAGTAAGGGATGGGCAGTGGCCATGCTAGCCCTTGTGAGATTAGGAAGCCAGAAAGTCCAAATGCAGGAGCTGCAGAAGGAAGAGCCTTCTATAGACTGGAGGAGGGTGGGTGGGGGAGCATGTGTGAGGGCGGTAACAGAGTCTGGGCTGGGCTCAGATAGGGCAAAGCAGGCTGCAGGGCCTACAGGCCACAGGAGGCAGATGGGATTCTTTTTTAAAAAAAAATTGTTATTTATTTAATTTTATTTATTCATCCATTTATTTATTTATTTATTTATTTATTTATTTGGAGAGATTTTTTTTTTTTTTTTGCTATAGGGCGCGTGCGCTCGCCAGACAGACAGAGAGAGACATAGAGACAGAAAGCGAGAAATCACCCCCCAGGGGGGATGGTCACGCCGCAATCCCTTCTCCTCCATTCTCCTCTCGGGATCTTGGACACGCACACACACGCGCCCGGCGTGAGTTTTAAGCCACCGGGTCCAGGACGCGTACCGCGGTCGACTACGTGGGAGTCCAGCGACACAGCCATTACGCCAACTGCTGGTTCCCCATCCATTTATTTTAATTTGACCAGAGAGAGACAGAGAGAGAGGGGAAATGAGAAAGCAAGCCACCAGGTCCAGGACTTGAACCGTGGTGAGCCATGTGGGAGTGTCCAGCGCCTTAACCACCATGCCACCCCTGGTCCCGAAGCAGATGGGATTCTGAGGGCTTAGAGAAGGCTGTGCAGAGGCAGGTGGGGTGAGATGGCGAGGTAAACAGCCGTCAGAGGCAGAGCCAGAAAGGTAGGCACCCAGAATGTTCCTGGGTTTTGAGCCTGTGTGGCCAACTAAACAGCAATGCCCATGGTGCTTTACTGGCACAGTGGTAACAGGCTACTCAAGAGATGCTGGATCT